GTCTTCACAGCGTCGTGCTTGGCCCGTGCGTTGTTCCCTTCTGCAGAAGTGTGCAGGGTTGAGTGTGCGCTGAGACTAGTCTGCACAGCGTCGTGCTTGGCCCGTGCGTTGTTCCCTTCTGCAGAAGTATTGGGCTGAGTGGGCGCAGAGGCCAGTCTGCTCAGCGTCGTGCTTGGCCCGTGCGTTGTTCCCTTCTGCAGAAGTGTGCAGGGTTGAGTGTGCGCTGAGGGCAGTCTGCACAGCGTCGTGCTTGGCTTGTGCGTTGTTCCCTTCTGCAGAAGTTTTGGGCTGAGTGTGCGCTGAGGCCAGTCTCAACAGCATAGTGCTTGGCCCGTGCGTTGTTCCCTTCTGCAGAAGTGTGCAGGGTTGAGTGTGCGCTGAGGCCAGTCTACAGTGCCGTGCTTGGATTGTGACTTGTCCCCTTTTGCAGAAGTATTGGGCAGAGTGTGCGCTGAGGCCAGTCTCCAGAGTGTCGTGCTTGGCTCGTGAGTTGTTCCCTTCTGCAGAAGTATTGGGCTGAGTGCGCAGAGGCCAGTCTGCACAGCGTCGTGCTTGGCCCGTGCGTTGTCCCCCTGTGCGGAGGGTCTGTTTCTGAGCGTGCGCTGGGCGTGCGCAGGCGTGCACCTGGATGCTGGAGCGCGCGCGCGGGCGCGACGCCGCCTGGCACGCGGTGCCGGCGGGGCTTCTGGCGGGCGCCGCTCTGCGCCTCTACCCGCAGCGCACCCTCGCCCTCCTGGCGACCACCACCCTCATGCAGGTAGGCCTTCAACCATTCCCTCTCATGCCGTCATTTCCACATTTTGCATTTTCATCGCATCATCATTATGAGCATTCCCCGAAAAATTGATCACTTTCCAATTTTCTATTCATTTTTTAGTTACCTATATTTTCTTTTTAAACTAGTGTTGCTGCTAAAGTATATACTTTATCGCTTTGTTTCTAAAAGCTCCGCAACATTACTACATAACCAGCAAAAGTGTTGTCAAGCAGTTGATTACTTGTCCTCTCCGAGACTCGAACTCCGTTCCTATAGTTAACGTTCCAGCACTCTTACCACTACGCCACGGAAGCGCCATGTGGTTATTTTGTTAGAGTTATCATACATATAGGATTGATCCGAAGTAAATTCTTGGGGCTCTGAGCAGTATCATTTTTTACCCTGAGCAGGCTGCTAACGTCTCAGGAAGCCGCCTTCTTTATCCGGGCTTGGGACCGGCTATGGGCTGCTAAGCTACTCAATCCACGTAGCAGGCGGAGAGTGTGGTATTTGTTTAAATTATATTTACGAGTTTTAACAAATGTTCTCCACAGAATTTCTTGTCAACCTATTCTAATTATTCGTTTAGAAATTTTAATGTCAGCTGTCGTTAGTATTCTCAGATTCCTTTGGCACTTATCAGCGCCATTGTCAGTTAGGTCGATTTCGCGATAGCTAAAGACAGCAATTTACTGGTAAAGAACAGTCCAAACCTAAAGTTTGCAAGCCGTGTTCACTTGAACCAAAGGAAGAAGACTCGATTGCGTCTGTAACATATCTAAAAGCTTATGTTGTTTATGTGAACTGGTTTTAATCTATTTTTACGTCATGTTTCATTGACTTAATGGCATGTTTAAAACATTTTAAGATCATTTTTGGCGATGTTTTAGGTCATCAAAATCCGCCGCCTAATGCTAACATAATTTTGAGAGTAATTCTGTGAACGACTCGAATATTCGAAAATAATTTTTAAAATGTCTCACCATTTACGTCGCTTGTTTATGAATGTATTTCATATAATCTGAAAGAGGGCATAAAATGTTTCCCTCAAAAGCCGCTCGCTCTTAATGGGATAAACCCACTATCTCCTACTCTTTGTGAGTTCTATTCGAATGTAACACACAGTCGGTGACTCCGCAGCATCCCTGTTGACTAGAACGAGATCACAGGACAAATGACATGCTACGCGGCGGTGATCGTGCCCGGCAACCAACGTTTGAACGACGTACGAGTTGCAACGCTCGTGTGTCGCTAACCTAGGCAGTCTCTAGGCACGTGGTTACTCTGGATATACACGAATGTGAAGTATGGATGTCTTGGAATGTTTAAATCAAAACGCCACAAATCATCCCAGCTTCTTAAATGTCTAAATAGAATGAAGAATATTCTTATATGGAGAATAATGAAATGAAATTGTCTCATATTGCTTACGCGCAGTAATCCGCGCGGTCTCAAACGTTTTTTGCTATAATGAGTATTAAATTCAATATCTGAAAACATTTCAGAATCGGCAAAAAACGTTTGAGCCCGCGAGTCATATACTTTGTGATTAAAACAAATGTACAATTTTTTACTCTTTTGCAGATATTATTAAAGCGGTTTTGCAAGAAGAAAGGCGTTAAAAATATACAAGTTTGGAAATATATATTTGTTAGTCTTTCGGCTGGCTACCTCGTCCACTCTTATTACGCTGATCCAGACCACTGTCCTATATGGTTTAATGGAACTGTGGCTACTGTAACAGGGGGCATGTAAGTAGAATGTATACATGTGAATATAGGCCTATTATGTGATATATTACAGTATGTATTTCCACAGTTTTGTGTCTCGTGTCTTTTCGTTGACGAATACTTCAAACGTCATATGTTGTATAACTTGTGTGTCATATAGTGTCATATAACCTTGTATTTTTATGCAAAGTGGGCTTTCAATATTGCATTATGTACCTTTTCGTTACAAAAATGTAATTTCTAAAAACATTGTGTTTGAAGTAAATCTTTAACGTTGTGCATCTGAATCTGTGAATCTCATCTCGATCAAGTTTTGCGTTGTTTCTCTTAATTGGTTGAGAAAAATCCTGAAGTAGTTCTTTCTTCTTTTGGACAACAAATGTAGCTTCCGTCGTAGTGTTCAAATATTTTTACTATTAGGTATTTAAATAAATAATAAAAATATTAAAATAATTATTTTATAAAACATAACTCTTTTACAGAGCCCCGGAATTACGCCAGGAATTGTTGAAGATTTGGCACCCATTCCGTTTCCCTGCTGTAGTGGGAGGACTGTGAAAGTATTCAAAATGCGCACCAGAAGAATGTAGCGTCTGCATGGCCATTTGAGAGTACGTATACAGATTTTTGAGAACCCAAAACGTTTTGATAACAGAAAATGAAAATGAAACCTTCGAAAACGTGAAAGCGTTTCATTTCGGATACCATTTTCATTTTTACGTAAGTTCCGATGTACGTCAGCAATTGTGATATTTTTGACATCGCTTTGAGAGATTTTTATTTTAACAATGGAAAACTGAACCATCTTTGATACATGTATTTGCAGTTAAAAGAATGGGAAAAAATATATATTCCTAAAAAAAGTTAACGATATGGAAGTTGATGCTTGCAATTTTTTCATAATTTGCAGTTGTTGAAATAGAAATGTGCGAGAGATTGTTATCTTTAGAATTTGCAAACACCAGCGACTAGGCTGTGTATTTTATTTTTATTAAATGAGGTAGCGTTTTATTCCATAAGGTAGTAGAATTTTAAGATTAAGTCCAAAAATTAGCCACAAATAACCTGTAACTATTTCATAGTTATTTATGAGCTTATTTTTATACTTTGTGTACAGCTTCGTGTGTCTTGCCATTTTCCAAGATATAGCGTTTCATATTTAATAGAAGTGAAAAATAATTTGAAGTGCATTGTCCCAGAACAGTTTGACACCTGTACTATATAATACTTTCATGTTGTGAAGGCACAATTTGTCTTATGGAGAATCCGTGCCTTGTTGCCAACACGACAAGTTTGTTTGCCCGTTCGCTCCGCTATCGTAAAAAACACGGCTACCTTATTATAGATATGCTGAAAAATGGTTTATTCCCTCACTTATTATCATTATTATTTATTAAAGTAGCGGTAATATTTGTATTAGCATAAATATCTAATACACTTGGATCCTTTACATGTATTCTCTTGTAAAACGAAAAACAAATATCGTAAATTGCTGATTGCGCCGTCAAATATTAATTAATCTACGTAATAAACAAAACATCATGACCAATATTTATCCAACTTTCATCTTAGAGCATTATGTTCCTTTTCTCGTTTCTAAACTGTAGCATTTCTCGTAGATATGAATATCGGCACAATATTATATCATTTCTTTCTATCATTGTCTTTTTTTCTGGCTTTTCAAATTCAAATCCCATTTCTATCAATAAGCGATAAAATGTAGAATTTGAAATTTGGTGAATGTTTATCATTCACATCTTTAATTACACACGATTGTTGAAGGAACATGTTAAAATAGAAACCCATTGACTTCATTCGCGCGTTTGACTCCATTTTGGCATATTTTCCTTTTAAGTTCTCAAATACATTTAAACTTTTTTACCCCTTTTAATTATTTTACTTTTTCCTCCACGATCCATTTGTATTTCTTAAAATTGACACACTACACAATTGGCCAAATTGCGTGCTGACTTTTCTTTACCTCTGCACATCCACCATCTTCATTCCCCTGCCAAAATCGACTGACCAGAATAGCCAACGAGATGAAATACCGGAAAGGGCTTCTTGTGATCATTCAAGTATTGATTTGGGTGATCCCTTCGGCTGATGACATCACTTAAACACTCACTTTCTTTGAGCCCTGCAGGTCGCACATCCTGCCTATGTGCCTCGTATTTCGGCCGCGTCTCCCGTCTAGCCTCAGGTCGCGCGCTGCGCGTCTTCAAAACACCAAATACACAGAAGTAGTGCATCCAAAGACCTTCGGGTCGTGATAGAACGTAACTTCATGATTTTCCCACAAACATTGTCGCTCGCATACATTCTAATGCGCTAATTCTAATAATTCAAATTAAACATCCTCACGTTTTCGTTGACAATTCATTTTTTTAAAGGGTCATATTTTGATATATTGATAAAATGAAATTCTCCCAGCTGATGTATCTGAAATATTGTATAGTTTTTCCAAAATAATTCCACCAGTTTTGGATATGTTTTAACGATTAGAATAAAAAAAATGTTTACAAAGTCAGTTCCGCAGAAATATATTTTCATTATTTTATTTAAAAAGCAAATGATGGATCCATTTTTTATGATTACCATCGGGTTCCTCGTCATTTTCTCTTCAAGACTATTTTTTTACTTACTTTTGCAACAATCGATTTGGCAACAGTGCACGAGATTCTTCCGTAAGAATAACATCGTATGTTGTGCCTTCAGGACGTGAAAATGAGTTATAGATTCAAATGTTTCTGGTAATTTTCATTGTTATACAATATTTATTTGAAGTGAGACTGAAGTCGTTTAGTATTAACAACAAAGGGACCAGTAACGTACTGAAAATTTAGTTATTTGCCTTGTAATGTTATTTGTGTCCCTGATTATAAATTAGCTCTTGTAAAAAACAGACGTTACCAGATACATCCAATAAATGATGAAAAAGAGATTATTTTATGTTCTTATACTTACCTTAAACCAATTACATAATTATATTTCCTTGAACAATTCCTTCCAAGAATGTTAGGTGATGGAGATCAAGCCCCCAAAAATTAAGTAAATGCGTATTTTCGCACAAGTAAAAGATTTTTGAAAAAAAAATTATAAAACCTTTTTTTAGCGACTGTGTCAAAAAAAGGGTGGCGTAAAGCCGTTGAATATATGTAGTTCCATGTAATGCGGTATATCGTGACTCTTAGTTCGTCTTTAAAATTGATTTTATTTGTCTGGTATTCAAATTGAAATATACAGAATTCATCCGAAAATGTGCCTTATTCCAATATACAGATACATTTTAAATTGAAGAAAAAGAAAAAACGAGAAAGAATACAATTGTCGTACCACCAATGGATTTGCAACTCTCTTCTGGTAAAGCAGTTGGACATCAGCAGTAACGATTTCAATTATTAAGAAAAATGTTAAATTTTTGCTTAAATGTATACTAAGATTTAGGCACAGTTTAACCAAGACGTAGTACAACCTAATTTCATAAACATAATCACTTTACTGAAATTGCTTTCAGTTCTGTTTTGAGAAAATAATTGTTTAAAAATTTCCTTTATTTCAAGCAAAATTACGCCAAAACTACCCTTTTTTCTAAAAAGTGTAAATTATTTTATTTCAACATCTTTGAACAACAAAGTAAAGTAAGTTAAGTAAAAAACCTTCAATGTTGTAAATCGTAGAAACATACCTCAAAAAATTTCAACTCTTGCAACTTTAAAAACAACAACAGGAGTTTCAACAAAAATGAGATCTGCGACATTCCCTGAGGAATGTTTAGAAAATGCCGAGGACAAAGTTAAATAAAAAATGTGTAGCCATTTTTGAGAACATTTTGAAATGGTTGAAGGTTCATGTAAAGTACCCCCAAACTCAAAATATCCTTTTCAAAATCGAAGGACCACATGTTGAGATCGATCGGGGAATATTAGTTTTGGAGAATGTCGTCTGAGCGGTTTAGGGCAGATGCAAGCATTAACCATCGACGGACAGACATATTTTGACGTCAATTGTTTTTCGGTATCAAGCACTCACAAAACCCAGATACTACACAAAGTGTTAAGAGTACCGTAAATACGGGCTACTTAACCCAATTTTTTAATACTATCATAGTTTTTCCTTTACTAATCCTTGAAACACTAAAACAATGTTTATAATGTTTTCAATAGATCTACAGGTTTATTGTGAAGTGCTCGAGAATAGTTTAATAAGATAAATTTAACACATCACAAATAATGTTTTTGAAAATTGGGTTCTAGTTACACTGCTGTGAGGGCAACTTGAACCTACGCGATCTTTTCGCACATAAAACCATTAACATATGTACTGGGTGCATGTGTTCCTAGGTTTTGTTGTACAAACATGAATGTAAATATACTACAAACATGACGATAACTATCATAGCTGAAATACAATTTTTATTATCCAATTTTTTATCGGAACTATGGATGCCTAAAAAATAATTTCACCCATCGCATCCTGGGAGATTATCTTCGAAACCAGTAACAGTTCTGCCACCCATAGATAAGTAAGACTTCACAATAAATCTGAAATAGAATTCATCAACAGGAAATTTGAAATTACTGGTTTGGTGACGGTGCCTAGCAAAGACTAATTTTTCGTCTTCAGTAAACATATCTGGATGGCCTCTTTCTGAATGGATTTCTTCGGTCCCCTTTTTATATTAGATCGACGATAACGGCATCTTCAGCTTGTCTTTGTGTCCTCACTCCAGATAATTGCTGCTAAACATTCAAGCTAAATGTCCTTATAATTCGCATATTCCGGACTCCAGAAAATCGTGTATTTGTGTCAGATTGCTGTAAAAACAAGCGAATATCACTATTTTTGCAACTGTAAATATCTAAATAAATCTATTAACTCATTAAAAAGATAAAAAAGAAAATTTTAGGTTACTTGATCCCATTGTGAGCATGGGTTCAAGTAGTCCGGTTTTTGAGATTATGTGCTCACAATTAGGAAATCTGAAAAAAATGGGGAAGGCTTCTACTAATGACGAAGTTATTAAAGCATTTCTATTAACAAATATATTATCAAAATGTAAACTGATCCCTTGATCAACTATATTGAAAACCAGAGTAGACATAAGTTTGCAGGGATCAAATTCGACCAAATTCGGCCACCGACACTTTATGAAGAGTCTGTGGCCGAATTTAGAATTCGAAATTTGAAATTGGTCGAGTGCTGTAATTTACAGGTATACCACCGAATTATGCTAAACGCGCTTAACTCTGCACTGTGTTGCCATCGCACGGATGCAATTGCAAACTAACTGGTCAATGCAAATTATAAGCGACAGCAACCGCTGAAAAAAACGTTTCGCGTGGGTCCAAGAAGTACCCTACGGGTCCAAGTAGCCCGTGAAGACGGTAATTAACTTCATGCAGGAAGGATTTTTACTGTTCCGTCACCAGGGCCTGACAATAATAGTTTTCCTGGAGAAAAATCGCTGTTTTCTAACGATTATAATACTTTTTCTTTCGCAGTAAGGGAAGGTGGTAAAAAGACGCGCAGATGTATACATGCGTGGATTCATACGGGAATCTTGTGGATATTCAAGGGATTATGTGGTGAACAGACGCCGGATCATGTGGTGAATATGACAGTCTACGAGTAAAAACTTTTATGTACAGTTCAGATCTGTTCTGAAGTGGGATCCAGTGTGCAGCTTTTTTAACTTTTAAAACCACGATGTTCGAAGTGATGAATTTTCGCACGGGTACATCTATTGTGATACATTTCAGCCTCATCACTCACTAGGCTCCCTCATTCTAATTTTATTAATGAAAACACTGTAAAATCGTGTTTTTTTTGGAATTTGCCTAATTTACTGGAATCATTATCCAGTTCTCCTTGCCACATGCAAATTTTATCTTATGTATCTTGTACGTTTAATACAAGTAACTACCAATCTACCAGGTGAGATTATCAATTTAGGGTCGGCGTACCCAGAAGGCCAGGCTGGAATGTTCCCCAATTATTTTTAAGGAAGGGAACGCGCACCAGCCTCGTCACGTGGACCAGGAACTGCCTGCCGGTGGCGTTGGTGCGGTGAGTGGCGCGAGAGTGGGCGGCGGATGGGTGTGACGGAGCGCGGCAGAGGGGGAGGGGGTGCAGGGACAGCGATGCCCGCGGCTGCTCGTGGGACGAAAAGTCACTTTCACGAACCGCGTGGGCCTCGCGCGCGATCGGCCAAGCGTTACGGTGCGCGAACCCACAGCCCCGCGTTGCCGCCGCCGCCGCCGTCGCTGTCAGTGTCGTGACGCAGCGTCGCCTCGCGCGCAATCCGCAGCACCCTGGTGGCAGGCACCGCGTTTAAAGTCACGCGCGCCTACGTTAGACCTACAATAAAAAGAAAATTCATTTTTGAAACTTTTTTCAAACACCGTTACCACCAAGTTTAGTCTACTGCAATGCTACATTAATAATCAAAACCACGCTTTTTTAAAAAGGATACTAGCTAATTATAACGATATTCCAGGTTTAACCTACTTAGAGACAGTATATGGAGCCCATATTTCGCACATCTAAAGAATATTGAAATTAAAGTACGCGATGTTCATATTTTCTGAAATGAGTACCATTGGTCGTGGGTAGGGATACACACCATACGAACACAGACACTAATGAGCTGGCACAGAGTTTATTTTCATAACTATGTACATAAAGAAGTTCTCACTGTGAGGCGTTTGTTCGGCTGATTCCCTTTGCTTCCCCTCTAAACGCGCCTTCCGGCGGCGCTAGCGAATAGCCAACCCGGCCTCCCCTCCTCTCGGCATCTGCCGTGCTCTGGCAGATACACCCTCTGCCCTACAGTGGTCCAGATTCACACAGACGTGCCCGACCTCATCGCAGCACCTCGTGCAGGCAGCTAGTCCGCGCCAGCCTGGGCGGAAAGGTTTTTGTTGTATTACGGCGAAGAAACAGAAATGTTACACGCGAGTTATGGAACTTCATTTGTGCAGTTTTGTGAACGCACGAAAAGTGAAATGCTCGTTCACGCCTTTGCGATGCGAACATTTCCACCCCTAAGTCCATCTATGGCCAAGGAAAAAGAAAAAAAGAAAAAAACAGGGCCAGAACGACTCTAACCAATTGGCGCTCGCATTGCGTGTGCACCAATACGAAGTTTGTGTTTCACGCTGTTTCAGATTTCTTACTCCAAGTGCTTAGGTCGCTTCTACGTCGCCCATGATCGGGTTCGTTTGAAGCGATCTCGGAAATGAAAAAGGTTTTCCTAGTCGCTTGTTTTATTCAAAGAATTTAGTCGAAATGTTTTTAATGTGATGTATTAATTGATTTTGTCATATCGCTTGCGAATACACTAAAGCAGGCACGTCAAAGCCCGTCCGCACGAGCTACGTGCCCGCCTGTGGAGCCCGGCGTTGCTACGGGCATGGGCAAGGGCAACTTCCCCTTACTCCGCACTCATTTCCCCTTAAATTTCAGAAAGGGGTGTGCACGCGCCTGCTGAAGCGTTGCGAGGTGGCAAGTAGTGGTTTCATGCGAAAATGTGTTTGCCAATATTTACTTTAGTTTATTACCACGACGTGCACGTGTTTCATACTTCACGTAACCCATTCCTGCTCCATCAACCAGTGAACTACTGTTTCAAATACGTTGATTCACAATCGCACATTCTCTTTTAATAGATGATTTCATGTAACTTTGTATGTTTTGTATGTATTTGTAACGTTTCAACAATCTAAGTGCGCATTGCAACTTATCAGTTGTGTTAAATGTGCTCAGTTAACCACGTGTTCAAATACATTCTCCGGTACTGTTATCCATTGCGTTGAATTCATGCCAACATATTCTGTGAATACCTCCTCTGCCGTGAACAGTTTACGTCATGTGTGGTGTCATTACACACGTGCTTCCAACACCTCTATCGTGGTACAATGGATTCTGCAGCATTCAAAGCAACTGCTGCAATGACTAGTAATCAGTCACAGTAAATCCAAGCTGCTGTAGC